GAAACCTAACGCGTTGTACATCAGATAGAGGTACCATTCGATAGAGCAAAGCAAGCTCCACAAGATGGTAAGCAAAAGTTCGCACCAACTTCGACCCACCGTAAGTTTGCACCCAAAATCTGAGTCGTACTGAAGTCCAAAAAATCACAAAAAATTCATATGTTTGTTCAAACAAATCCTACGGATCTCTAACTTGCTCGTAAAAATTGCGGACCACATTAGACGCTCATATGCACCGTTCCTGTAATTTTTCATGCATGGAACGCCCGAGCGAGGAGCCCTAAATTCGATAATTTTTGGGAACTTGAGCCTGTAGAGCCTGAAAATTTTTGGTTATACTTTTAAGGGCTTGTACTATTCAATTACTTCGGTGGAAACAGCACAGCTTCGTTTTTATATAAGCATAAAAATTTTCGTTTTCTCGTTTTTTCGTGCATACTGTCTTGTAGAGCTTGTTGCTCTATCGAATAGTACCCTGTAGCCCTGTAAAGAATATGAGGTGCAGACTTATCGCCGTAAGAAGTGCAATGTAACAAGACTAATGTAACAACCTAATAAAAAGGATACTTTTGAGCATACCACTAAAGCTTTGGAAATGGATTTGTCTGCACCGTTTGTTAATCGAAAGCTAAGAGCACATTGCATAGGCGCACTAACTGCGATGCAGAAAACGAATCTTACGCTCTCCGGCACGCAGCACACAAGGTCGCGTGGTTTTCACTAGTTATATATACTTAACGTGCACCATGATATATTTCATAAATGCAATAATAAATTTGCGTATTTGGAGGATATCGTGGATGGCTGTAAAAATTTCTATTTGAGTTAATCGGAAACCTTTTTTCTGTTACCTTTTGCGAACACAGATTGCTTAGAGGTATCATGATTCGACATTTTTGGAAGTCGACAGACCTATAAATTACCAAAAGCAAAAAGTCACAAGGATGCTTTATGTGGTATAGCACCTTATCACCATTTACTAGAAGCATGCTGGTCAAACTTATAATCCTGTATTATTCCTATGTCATCTTGACCCTCAAAGAAGTTTCTACTCCATCAAGTCTATCTCAATATTGTAATGACGTATAGAGTGGCTTCTATAGGCTACGCCTTTTCGCTTGCAATCTTTCATCAAATGTTCAGGCATATGATTTATGTCAGCCCTATTCATTGTCGAGCCGCAGGGGTTAACTCAAATAATGGCTGAGAAAGCAATCCTAGACTCGGTTTGAGGGCGTCGGAAGAGGAGTTCGCAATTTTTGTAGTTGTTGCATAGCTCTTGGTTACAAAAGATTCTGTTTATTTTTTCATATTCTTTTCTATAAGCGCTCCTTCTGCCTCGTGTAGCCCTTTTATGCTTCTGCAAGTGTCGCTTGCAGCATAGTGGCTGCAGCGCTGCTCACGTCATTCACCGCGCTTTGGGTGAGTCGAAACTTTTGCGGCAATCAGTGCAGGTTGCGCCCGTACTTGTTTGTGTGACAGATTCGAGGGGATTACCACTTGCTTACAAGTGGAACTAGAGAAGACACGGATGCCGGCTTACAATGAATGCTTGGTTAATCGAAGTGGCTTTCAGATTGGATGTATACTGCATTACAGGAGGGGGGGGGGCAGGAGGAACCAAAGGGCTGCCGCCTATATCCGCAGGAGATAATTAAGAGCGCAAGCGTTGTGGAGAATATTTTGGCCAGGATCCAAGAAAACTTGGCAATGACATTCTGTAGGAATAAATCTTCATAACTTTGCCTGGAGATGACTTTTAAGAACTTGAAAACAGGTTTGTAATGCAAAATTGAAGGCGCATTTACTGGGTCGAAAATTAAATGAAAATTCAAAATTGTAGTGGTAAGAAAAGCCAACTTCCTTATAGAAACGTTTTTTTAATGAATTCTGAAGTTTCAAGTTGCTGAAAACAGGAATTTTAACTCAAAATTCATTCCTTTGAGATAAAGGAGTAGTTTGCCTTTTGAATCAATGAACTAAAGCAATCAAATGTTGTAAAAACACGTTTGGAAGCTTGCGTCAAGACGCAAGATGCAATTTGTCTCATAACTTCAAACCTATTCTTATTCTAAATTTTGACACTAAAGACTTCTTAGAATTGCCGTTAAAACTATGTCGGTAATCCTTTCGAAGTTGTACACAGTAGCAGAAGTTCATCACATGCAACTTAGTTGACTGTACTTCCTGATTAACACTTCCTACTTTCTCAACTTCAAATCCAGAAATTTTACTAAAAAATTCACTCAAAATCCTTTACACAACATTGAACTTGAAAGTCAGTTTTAACGGTGAATCTTGAGGGCTCAGGTTTTGGTGACAATAGAACACGAGTAGCGAAACAGAGTTGTTTATCTATCCGGTAGGCGTATTACTGAAGAATGCGCCTTTCAATACTGATTCCAAGTCTGTCCTTCGTGTCCTTGAAAGTTGATTCCAAGAAGAGTTATAATGGTTTTTTTTAAGGATGTTCCTCGCTAAGTTTTCCTGGACCCTTGCCAAAATCTTCTCCACAGCGCTCGCCCTCCTAATTATCTCCTACGGTTACAGGCGGCAGGCCTTTGGTTCCTCCTGCACCGCATCCATTACAGGGCATAAAATTTATTTACTTATTTTGTACGCCAGGAGGCGCGCTTCAATCCAAGAAATCAGATCAGAACAGGGTGTAAAACGACAAATCAATAGAAAACATGAAAAGAAAGAAAAAAAACCAACAAAGGAACAATCGTATTGAAATGAATAAGTCATCCAGATCTTGTCTAACCTTTGCACTCCCTGGAGGAAAGAGATACATGAAAGAAACGTTGACCAGCACATTCCCTCTTCGCCCGTCAGCCCGATCAGGCATCTCAAGTCGTGGGGACAGAGCGGAGGCCCGGCGATCGGCTATACTGGCGCCCCCGCCAGATAAGCCAAAACGGGTGTACTGGCAGGGGGCTGCCAGTACCGCCGCTCACCGAAACCCCCGCCCCTCCCCACGAACCCGCCATGACAGACCGGAGTGGCGGAAGAAGACAACACAACGCCCCAGATACTAGTCTTACCGCCAGTGTAGTGCAACGGCCAGACTCAACCCGAAACAAAAAGACTGCAGAGAACCTGACTGGAGGTACTAGAGGAGGTAATAAAAATTGAGTAAAGCTATCTGAAGAAAGGTACACCCGGAGTTGAGAAGCTCTGGAAAGACACGAGAGAGCTAGGAAAACATACAAAGGTAGCCTGTGCACGTTACTGCAGTGCAGGGAAGATACAGTCAGAACCAAAAGCGAGTGAAAAAAAAGACAAGAACAGCAACAAATGAATTCATTCCACGTCACGTATGCCTAGCACTTGTAGAATGTCCATTTTTCGGATGGCAATTTTGAAGTGTGTTGAATTTTTAAGGCATAAAAGAGTAGTAGGCAAACGTTCCAGCCATTTGGCGGCTCTGAAAAAGAAGGAACTCGTACACCTCAGACGATTTGCGCTCGGTAGCTTGAGACGAAAGGCAAAACCGCCATGCCGTCCGTAAACCGGACGAAACGCCCAATAGTTTGAGGGCTTTAAACGAAGTTCACCTTTGAGAGTCTTATAAGCTAAAATCAAGTCAGCTTCTACCCTTCTGTAAAAAAGACTCTTGAGGTTCAACTCGCGCAGGCGAACTTTATATGGGGGAAGACCCTGCGGATAGCTTGGGTCTGGAAAGACTCGGTAGTAGAGTACTCTGGTAAACGTCCTCTGCACACTTTCAATTTTGTTAATATCCTTTGAGCGAAAAGGACTCCATACAGGGCCGCAGTATTCAACCAGTGGCAAAACGAACATTTTGAAAAGTTTGATCCAAAGAAAAGGATCCGAACTCGAAACATTTCTAAAAAGACAGTGCAAAACCCTCAAGCCCTTGGCCGCCACCGCGTCAATATGGCTCTCAAAGTTCAAACCATTGCCAACTAGCACGCCATGATCACGAACTTCCTTGCTCAGCAACATATCACCTAGCTCGTTGTTATAAACGTTCAGTGAAAGCGATCCTATGGGGAGATGCTGACTTTTACGAAAATTGACTCTGAGATGCCAAAAATTCGTCCACTGTAACATACGTTCGACAAATTTCGTCAAAGCCTGCTGAACTGCTTCTTTTTCTGTTTCACTATAGATTGCAGTGACTTTGATGTCATCCGCGTACGCATGCACAAAAATCCTCGTATCCGTTTTGAGAAAAGCAGGTAAATCATGTGTGTATATAAGAAAAAGTATAGGCGACAAAATCCCTCCCTGTGGAACGCCCGATAGGCATTCCCTAGGGAAGGAAAAGTCATGAGAGAAGCGCACTATCATCTTTGGTTGCGTTAAAATGCTGGATCCGAACATGCCTTCCTTATCTGCAGAACGTTTATGGAGGGGGAGTTATGAGCAGCGCTTATTGGAGCAAAAAAAAAAGAATGTGCAAGTAGGACAAACATGGCTGCAATACTTTTTCTATCTCTTCAATGGAGCGGTGATAATCATCAGAGCACTATATTTGAGAAATACTCTAAAATTCAAAAGAAACACCACGTTGGTTGCTTTATTTGAAGGCTAGTAAGATTTTTGCAACCCACTTCATCCAAAATGCACATTCAATTTATGGCTTCCAAAAATGCTCATAACTCCTCGTCCGTAAATGTTCTGCAGATAAGGAAGGCAGGTTTAAAATCAGCGTTCTGTGCCCTTTAATATGGTATACCTCCCACTTAGAAAAGCCACTTCGACTAAAAAGCTTTCCTTGTCAGATGTGATAACTGTTTCTAATGTGAAAGCAGGAAAGCATTCTCTACTTTATTCGAAAGTGAATTATGTTATTGCAGTTGATGCATACCTTATAAAAAGCACAGCATTGTTTGAAAGAAAAAAGATGGGATACTTGACTGTAATAAATCTTCGGACTTTTCGGAATCATTCGATTTTGTCTGAACAAAGCGGAAAACGTTTCGATGCAGCTGTGCATTTGTGGAAAGGTGAAGTATAATGATGATAGAGAATGATTTCTGATGTTTATTCGTACGTGCATGTCACTCTAAACTCAATGTGAAATCTGCTTCCAGATTAAGCTTAACATAAGAGAGAACACAATTACAACAAACAACAAACCCGAAGTTCTATGAAATCTCATGAAAATGGCATCTTCTGATAAAACAGTCCAAATCTACGAATCAAGCTAAAAAGTTAGAAACAACAAAACGGGTACACCGGAATATATCCTAATACGTATTATGTTGCAACTAAATTCGTCGTGAAAGATACGAAAAAGCTGATCCGGCTCGACAGTCAATCTGCTTAGAATTATTAGCTGAAAAGTTAGTTTGTAATGGTCTGTGCATTCTGAAATATCGTGAAGTGCAAATAATTTGATTTGGCAATTATATCTACCAGTGGGTTAAGACCAGCTTCCTCGATTCATTCGAGCGGTTTCTCAGTTTGAAGACGATATATCTACCAAGTCGTTTTCTTTGTAAGTATTTGCTTTTTTTTTGAATCAAGTATCTACCAAATAAGTAAAAAGGCAACACATATATTTTGGTATGACCAACCTGATTTATTGACTGCCTAATAGTCATGCAAAGCTTACTGCAGAAAAACACCAGTGTCATTTTTGGGAGCCCGGAGCGCTGGAAAATTTCTTGTTTATTGAATAATCTGTTGCTAACATGTTATAATGTCTCACCTTTCATGTGTTTCCTCAATGTATGTGCACGACGTCTCGCAAGAGCGTTTATGAAAGCAAGAACTATTGTAAATTGCCAGGCAGTGACGGCTGTGCTAGAATTGTTATTTCATAAAATAACCAGTAAGTGAACTATAACTTTTGAAAACACTCTAACCTAGTTCCCATTAGTCTAGACAGCACCATGGTCAACAGCGTCAAAACGCGAGTTCTTTCCGAGAAGAAATCTACAACAGCAAGTATTGAAACTTTGATTTGGAAAAAGTTTATGCTACTTTTCCGAGAACGAAAAATGAAGACATGGAGGCTAAGTACTTATGTATGACGTTTATTTTCAGAATGCAAAATATGATACTAGATTGAAAGATAGATAGTATCCTATAGCTTTTAGTCATTCGGTACTATAGTCAGGTAGTCCTCCCTTCTTGCTCCTAATTCTAGCTAATGAGACAAAAAACCTCTGATCCGACAAGGGATAAAAAAAACTGTTTTTAGAGCTCTCTTCAGCATCATGATGGCGTTTGTGGGCTTGAAAGTGTGGATGCATGGAATTATCACCCAAAACCAGTACAGTTATCGTGCAGCTTTCCTCATGGCGTATCGAGGAGGAGGAGGAGAAGCCCCCCCCCTCTCCCGAAAATGGGTCGCGAAATTTCTGAAAGTTACATGGATGTGATATAAACATGTGCAAATGACTTGTTTGTTTTTACTGTTAAATAATTCAGAGTAATTTTTTGAATTTTTAAAATTCAATTTAGCCTCATGAAAAATTTTTCTCAAAGGCAAGGCTGACGCTACGCCCCCTTTTTTTGGGGTTAGGGACCGCGCAAAAATCTCGGGAAGCATTCTTTTCAAATACTTTTCTAAATGATAATCCATGTAAGCTCCCAGTGCAGGTAATGCCTTTAATTAAATAACCAAAACACTCTCAAACTCAACACAAAACACGGAGAGACCATGGTCTGCTGAGGTAGGGCTGAAAGAAGCCGCATAGTAGTTCTTCTTTCGCGGGACCACACAACTCATTGAAAGCTTCTCCAATTTTCGGCTACCAAAAAATACTTGAAAATTTTCAAAAGCAAATTAAACTTTTACAAATGCCACTTTTCATCCCGGAACGCAGGTTACATCTTTGCGTAAAAATGAACTCTAGGCTGTCAAGCTGTGGACTCAAAAGGTTTTTTTTATTATTTTACTTCAACTTACGTCTACTTCAATCAATATCAAGCAAAAAGGCAACGATTTATTCGATTCAAGGACGCTCAAGAACAGAGGGGCTCGAAGATAAATGAAAGACCTTTAACAGATTGACTTTTATTAGGATTAAGCGCATGAAATACGCCCCAAGGGAACATTTTATACCACACCATACAAGAAAAATGTAGCGATAACCGTTATGATAGTCAGGATAATTGTATAGTGACTAAAAATATCTCATCAGAATTATGTTAATGGCAACTAATGGGGATCTTGTCTGTATTCACAAGAGCTAACTTGAGGCAAGAAAGAAGAAGTCAAAATCGATGATCTTACTATGCCTGAGCACAGTGCGAACTGATTCATCTCTGTCTTAACGATCCTTTTATAGGCTTTACTTATCAATAAGTGAGCAGCTGAACACTTGCACTTTGACTGAATCGTCTGTCCAATGTTTACACAAAATATTTGATGGAGCGATGAAAAGTCTACGAATCAAAACGATGGCCTAGCTCTGACAGAAGTTGATGCCGTTCGTAACAACTGTTTTGAGTTATCTCTTGAGTGTGCAGCATATTAAGCAAAAAATACTCGAGTAAAAAGCGCAAAAAACAGTTCATCTAAGTTGTTTCCAGTTTTTACTTAGCTTTGCGTTCTGGTAGGTTCACTTCCCTGATGATTTTTTTCTGCTGCTTATGATTGCGAAATATTCTAAAATTCTTAGCAGGTCTGTCTTTCCAACCGTTTCAATTTTGCTAGTTCTTCAAAGAGAAACTGCACACAGAAGGAGCTATAGTAAATGAATATAGTTTGCTACGTCCATTGTTTACTTAGTTTATTTGAAAACTCTGCATAGCTTTTTCATAATTAATCAAGTTGTGTCTGAAAAAAAAGTCATCCCAACGTTTGCACGGCATGCTGATCAGTAAAGGATAGGATCCGAGATTTTATGCTCTTTGAGAAAAACCTCTAAATTAAGCGATCAAGAATGCGTGAATATTCAATCAAAACTCGTTTCTGGTTTGCTACCAACAATGAGTGAAAATGGCCTGTAACGTCTGCTTTTTTAGCGTGATACTTTACGTCTCAGACGTCCTTATCAAATTTTAAGTGCAGTGCTTGCAAAAAATGAATGAATAACGGAAATGATTAACTATGCTATAAAACACTTCCGTTTCATTATTACAAAGAAAGTACTAAAAATAACATCGATTTGTGCAATATTACTGTTTCTCTTTCTTATGCTATCAAAGTAGCTAAGTACATAATTAACATACTATAACACTGTCCATTCTTCGTCCGTATTCACAATCGATCATCGTCCATTCAGTAAGTCTATTTTGTCAGCAGAATAGGTCAATCAGTTCAAATAAAGTATATGGTCACTTTTTGCGTTATATAATTAGGCATTTGTTTGGGCAGGAGGCCTGTTCAATCCATCGAAAGTCTCGCTGTTCAGAAAACAGCGATTGAGTGGATGACAACATAGAATCCTTTGACGCAACCTTGACAATTCATCTAATCGAATGGAGCTTCTGATAACATACCCTTTGGTCAAAGTGGTCAGTGATAAAATGTATGTTGCTAAAGTCAGTGACGAACGCTGATCCAAAACCGCAACTCTGCAAAGATTCTGTTTTGAAGAAGTCTGTGGCGTTAGAAACGAAAATGCATAAATGTTCTAAGGAGTTTCGAACACAAGAATTTCTTTGCAATAAACTTCACACACGCGCTACATCATCCTATCATGATGAGAATTGAAACATAAGTCTTGCACTAGAAGAGGTGTGAACCGCAATAATTTCTATTTTTTCCGCATCCCGGATAGAGTTGACATTCGATAGAGCAAAGCTAGCTATACAAGATATGTTCAAAAGATTGCACGAACTGTAGTCCACGCAAATGAGGCAAAAAATTAAAAAGATTCAGTTACCTTAGAATTAGGTAAGATCTTAACTCCGTTTGAAAGAATGGGCAATTTGCTCAGATTATATACTTCTTGCGCAAGGCATTCGTATAGAAACTTATCTTGGCTGTCGAAAAAAAAATCGAGAAAACGATAATTCTCTTACTTTTGCCAAGTGGTGCTAGGCTGTGTCTAGCTCCTCTCATCCGGATTTTTTCGGCCATTAATTTTTCTTCGAAATCAGCTGCTAGTAGGCCATAATTTCACGTTTGTAGTTTCAAAAGTTTGTAGTAAACAAGTGCTAGTGTAAAGCAGCTCAGCATGGATTTGACAAAAACATGGTCCAGTTGACGAAAAAAATACAGCAAATGCATGAATAAATGTCTGATATGGATTATCACTGTGTCAGCAAAATTTTCGTAGCATTTTTTGAACAAACTTGCAGTTAATTCTCAAACCGCTGAAGCATTTCGAACGCATGATTTTTTATTTTTGCCCCGAAATTTCGCGAGGATTGCGCAAATTTTGAACAGTATCTTGTAGAACTAGCTTTGTTCTATTGAACGACATAGCAGGTCTTCTTTAAAATTAAAAATAAGAAATGTTGCGGTTTATACCTACTCTGGTGGAAGACTTATATTTCAATCTAATAGAAGTAGGAGTTATTACAAAGCTCCTATTCTAAGCGGTGTGTTAGCATAACTGTAAATTTTTAGAAAAAGCTTACCGCAGACAAGTAAATGCGGGCTTGATATCAGCATTCATCAATAAATTCAGCAACATACGGGGGGTCCCAAAAAAGTGTCTATTTTTTTGATTAATAACTCTATTGTCGCATAATGATTCGTGAACTCTTAGGTACCTTTTTGTAGAGTTGCCTTTAATTTAGATTAACAGTATAGAGAAAAACATCGATCCCTCCCCATTACTGTAAAATTGCGGTAGGAACCTTAACGAGGGTTTTGAGCCCTGGAGGGTCACATTACTGGTCTCAAAAAAAGCGACCAAATCTTACACAAGGCTAATTGTTGTTGATTGTGATTACGAACCTTGCATCTCATCATAATGCTTCCCTAAAAAGTTATGCCAGATGAGCAGTTGCAGCCGTTATTTTCGTTTTTCTGAAAAATGTAGTTATAGCGTTCAGAAATTTCAAATCCTTGTACAAAGTTGATTATCAAACTCAGTGTCCACGAAAACCCTATCACACAGGTTTTTAGATCTTTTCTGAAAAATGTTTCAAAAGGCCGTTTTTACAGCAACGCTATACGCCGGAAGTTCTTGCCGCAATCCTACAATAACCAAAAGCGACTTATGATCCACTTCATGCGTAAATCTAAGCTGAGGCCAGCTCTACAGAATAGTACCCAAAGCTTCTCGAAAGACTTCAGTACAATAAAGTTATTAACAATCAAACAGTACTCACATTTTCCATGTGTTCTCATCTTGAAACCTGAGCATCTTCGACTGTAAGTTTGATGTTCTCTTTTTTTTTATGGTGGATCTTTATCGACCTAACGTTTCGAACAACTCGTCTTCGTCGGAGGTCTGGAGTGTGTCCATGATGTCCGTGTGATAGTAAGTGATGTCCGTCACACTGATCTAGTGCGGACTACTGACTCTTTGGTGGACCGAAGACCTCCGACGAAGACGAGTTGTTCGAAACGTTAGGTCGGTAAAGATCCACCATACCAACCTGTGCGGCATAAGAAATATTAGAACATCAAACTTACAGTACGCACATTTTTGGGACACCCTGTATATGTCACCACGAACGACCACTTCGACCAAAAGGGCATTTTTTGTGAGGTATGCAAAAAAAAAATTTTTTAGTTGAAATGTCAGTTGAAACCTTAATCTGATTTTTCAATCCCTACAAGTCCGAAACGCAATTTTGTTCAAAACTCAGCTGACGCTGTATTTTTTTAAATTTTGTCCCCAATTTCAGAGTAATGAGATTCACACAATTATAAACTTCAGACTTACAGAAATCAAAACTACAGTGAGTACTACTACAACTTTTCGATTAGTGTTTATCTCAATGACAAAGACGCAAAGCCACTTTTGACCAGATCAAGCAAATTGCGAAATAAAACGTGAATCAAAAACAGATCTTGCTGAGAATGATGTCATCTCCTCTGAGGCATGAAACTCAGTATTGATTGTTCGAACAAATGAAAAAACGGCCGTGGAATATATTCTCTCACTTGTATGAGTTCCTGTCGTTTACGGCGAACGTCTCTAAAACGAGAGCTGCTCATCGTCTACATTTCGTAGGAATTAATCACTCATATCTTAATGGTAAGAGGTTTTCAAAAACCTTGTATCCAACTTGCGATTATGTTTTTTGAAAAAGTGCGAGAAGGGACTGCATTTTGTGTACTTATTCAATGCTCTTGAAGAGCTCTTTTTTGCGAATATATTAGGCTGTCATTTCTTATACAAGTTTTGGTCCTGAATTTCACTAATGAAGACTTTTCAGCCCGGTATGTGCATTGCGTTTGCATTGTTAATTGTTCAGAAGATCATTCCAAGAAGCAATCAAAGTTTTCGTAGGAACAGCATGAAAATTTTGTAAGTTTGAAGAAGAGTATGATTTTTACTGAAGGTTTTGGGTTGTAACCCTGCTTAACGGAAGGGAAATTTTGGGAAAACTCTGTAAAATCACACTTTTTCTGTTGGAAACAAGTTTGCGGTAAACAAAAAGTTTTTGTAGAAGGTTTTCTTTCTTCATTTAGCAATTATGACTTTCTTCAACTTTTTCCAAGAGCTTGGCAGCTTGACGAACTTCCTCTCGTAAAGATTTCTACAGCTGGCATTGAGCGATCCTGCGTGCGAGCTTTTTGTATTTTACTGTGGGATTCACATACAGGGTGTCCCAAAAAAATGTGCCTACTGTTTGGTTGTAAATAACTCTCTTGTA